ACGTAGAAATGTTTTGCCGGCGTGTCTGTTGTTTGATCGACAGCAGGGCCCCGCCGTCTGCTGCGAACGTTTTCCGGTGCTACCTGTGTAGCTTGGTGCACGTTTTATTTTAGTGCTTGTGCGTTGGAATTCTGCTGTTCCCGGCGTGGCGTGCACGCGCCGAGCGAAACGTACGGAGGCAGGATTTTGGCGGGGTGACGGGGGGGAGGGGGGGGACGGCGGCTCGCGTCCTAGTACAGGCGACTGCAGCGACATGCCCTCCGTGTTGCTCACGCGCCTCCTCCTCCTGTAGTCTTCCCGTGTGTCTTTTTTCATCATCTCCATCACCAAATTTGCGTGGTCTACGCGGGGTACATACGATACAAAAGTGCATGCAAAATGAACGGGTTTATTGTTTTCGTGGGAGAGGTGGGGCGGTTGGCTTGGTTTTTAATTTTGTTTTTCCTCCGCGTCTTTGTTTTGGGTCCCTTTGGGGAGTCTGTCGCCTTTCGTCGTCGCATGTTCCCGAGAGATCACCGCAGATTTCGGCACGCGACCCGGCCCACTCACCATCCATGGTGATGGCTGCTTTTTCACACCGATGGCGGAATGTGATGTTTAGTCGGGGGGGGGGGCGGGTCTAGTATATGCCCTCTGCTGGTGGTAGTGAATTTATCGTTTTTCGTCAATGTGCGGCAATAATAATGTGTGCCGATTCATCATTTTGCCGCAATGATGGAAGGGAAGCTGATGTGTAATGTTGTTCTTGTGTTGGTGCTTGCGGCGTGTGGAACGGCGGTGACTATGACGAACTTTTTTTTTGCCCTTCTTCGATGGATGAGTAAAGGTAACCACAGACGCGCGCACAGAGAGCGAGCGAGCAAGAGAGAGAGAGAGAGAGAGAGAGAGAGAGAGAGAGAGAGAGAGAGAGAGAGAGAGAAAGGCCCATGTGTTTTGTCTAGAGAGAGACCAAGAGTGGAGTCTGCTTTCCGCTGCAAAAAGTGAGGGGTCGTAGGATTTTGTTTTTTCAAATATGCTGTTGTGGTGTTTAGTTTCTTCGTCCCCTCATCAATAATGCAATTCGGTCCAACCCAACCCGACCCGCACACTCGGGCCCTGTTCTTTGCCATTTTGTTTTAGTTGTCTTTGGGCGTTGTATTTCAGCTTCAGCTTGGACGATTTTTTGCGTGTATCCTTTCTCTCCTATTTAAGTCCTCCCTTGCTACTGTTTTTTGTGTTTTTTTGCAGTGCTTGTGTACGACAGGAGATTTTTCTCGGGCGGGGCGGGTTATGCACCACCAGTCTAGACTACAGGGATTCTAGAGGAGTAAGGGGTTTGGCGCGAGCGGCGGTGTGAGAACAGAGAATGACGCGGTCGTGTCGGTGGTGCTCCGTGTGAAAGGGTGACCCGCTCACGCCAATAGGCAGTCAAAGAGTGTAGAAGTTTTTTTTTTGGGGGGTGGGGGGTGGGGTGTAGGTTGGGTTTTCTCGAATTGTCTTCAAGAAGCCAGGCGAAGTGCTTGCGTGTTTTTTCAGGAGTAAATACATATGCTGGCTGGACTGAGTAGGTGCCACATGCAAATGCAGCACTCCAACACGAACAACTGGTGAGTGTGACGGGACCGTGTCTTTTTGAACATGATTTCGACATGTTCGTCTCGACACAGGCAACACCTTATATATGCTATGGTGTGGTGTAGTATTTCATTTGCTCAATCGCCCGGACGCCTTTGAACGCTAGTATGTTATTAGAGAGGCGTGGCCCCATATGATGACAAACATGTGTTGACAGCTTGAAGACGGTCTCTTCTCTTTTTCGCTGGTAAATTGCGGATTATTAAAAGACCCAGACACATGCTGTTGTGGTTAGGCTACCTGACGATAAGCGCTTCTTTTGAATGGGCGAGAGCCATCATTTTGACGTATCTAAATTCTTTCTCTTGAACGACTTCCGACACCATCTTCGTTTTCTGTCGAGACTGCGCAGAAAAGGGCCCATTGCCAAGCTTGGATCGCGGACTCCCTATCCCATCCACGACCTTTTTTTTTGCAAAGTAGAGGCACATTGCCCCATCATACTTTCAGTCTGTGGGTGCGCCCGTCCACTGGAGCGTTCCACACCCTCCTCACCGACTCCACCCCAAATGAAAAATATCCCAAACAAAAACAAAAACACACCCAACCTTTTTGTCTACCCCGTTTTTTTCAACAGGCCGTTAGGGGGTGGTGCCCTCATCGTGCGGCCTGCAACCGCTTGGGAAACCCCGTCCTCCCTCGACCAATGAGACGATCAACTCGTCACCATCTGACCAAATCGCCTCGCATAAGGATGCAACAAGACAAACACAGCAAAATCTTCTTGTACCGCAACGGGTTTGCGTCATGTCTGAGGTCAAGACCTCTGTGAATACAAGGACCAGGGCGAAGGCAAACAACAAAGGCGTCTTCTGCTACATAAAGGCGTCTTCTGCTACATAAAGGCGTCTTCTGCTACATACCCCCCAGGAGCACGCTCCTTGTGCGAACACGTACATAATCTCGCCTAAGACGCCAGCCGGTCTCTTTTCTCACGAAGCAACGAATATATTCCTTGATTATTCCATGTACGTGACCACGCCAGCGATCATGCAATCGATTCCATCGGGGAAGGTGCGGTTACCCTGCATCCCGTACACGTCGCCTATTGCATCCCCCGTCTCCATCCACGAACGGTGGATGCCGATCGTGCTGTCCCCGTCAATGCTCAAGTACTGCCTGTAACATCAATCGGTGGAGTGAAGGGAAATGAGTCGATGGTTGGTTGAGAAGGGCTGCGAGGGGTTGTGTGCCGGGAGAGTGGCAACATCATGGACCACCGTGTGTATTCTGTCGGTGTAGTCTGTCGGCTCTCACCCTGATATGGTTTGCATCGTGCACGTGTCCCCCCAGGAGCCATCCCTCCCGGCGAAGACAGTCTGCGCGCGGCTCTCCCCAGACGTGTAACTCCCGACTACCAGGTCTTCGTCGTCGTAGTAGGAGTCTAGGGGGTGGGTACCGTCCGCCAAGAAAGGCACGGGCATGAAGGATATACAGGGGGTTGGATGGCGGAAGGAGAAGGGACGAGCGAGGTCGGTGTCCGCGTGGTTGCCCGCTATCAGGCGGGTGAATCAGCTTGAGCAATACCCGCCCATATTGTACGCCAACAATCTCCGGTACTGCTGTTATGGCCGTTTTCAAACGGCGACCTCCCTATCGGAAGTGCAGCCACACCGCCAACGCCCACACACGCCAACAACTTCCGCGTATGTATGTGAGGGAAATCGTTATTGAAATGGCGGCGAGTCTTGTCATTATTCGTACCTCTGCCGCGATCCGTATGTTCACATTAGCAAAAGACCGGCAGAACAAATTATACTCACAAGCAGGACTTCCGTACAGATAGTCTTCGTCAGAGGCTGTGTAGGTCAGCTCCAATGCGGCCTGCAATATCGGCAAAAAAACGCACACCACACACACGGCGCCGAAAGGATGCCATCAAGGCCCGTTTCTCGCAGACGGCACTGCAACAAGTTGGCTGGTGAGCGAACCGGCCGTAGACAAAGTGCAGATATTCGAGCGAACCAGGTCGAAGACAACTCCAATGAACATTGAGTGTCGTTGTGAAGCACATTCAAGCGTAGTTTACCATGGCGCATTCGGTCGCACTCAGGACCGAAAACAGGCACGGGATAACGTGTAAAAACTCAAGTCTGGAAGTCGTAGTGGAAACCAACCGATCTCTTGTTTCGACGGGTAGGACATCAATCAATTTCGTCGGTGTTGCTTCACGCGTGGTGAACTTCGATCATGAGCTCGAGCACATCGCCTGCGTCGAGTCCAATACACGCTGAAAACGATGCATGAGGTTGATCATCAACTCACAACGCTCTCGCTTTGGCTGAACTCGTAGCTGTAGTGGTAGCTGTAGTGGTAGCTGTAGTCCATGTCGTCGCCGTTGCTGTAGCGGTCAGATGACCAGTCGTTCATGTCGGCCTCGCTTTCGCTTGCCCATCGGCTCGGGAACTCAACGGGTGCGGCGGTAGGAGCAGCCGACGATACGGACGCCGAGCTTGTGGTGGCACCGTTTCGAGCTCCGTGCCCAGAACCATGTCCAAAGGAGCCGTCCTCTGGAACCTCAGAGAAATGGCCGCCAGTTCCGGAGCCGCCAGAGGGTGCACCGTCATCACCACCAGCACGTGCCGGTCTAGAGTTATACGGCGAAGAAGAGGAATAGTACCGAGCCGAGTTGCTGCTGCTCCAGCTGCCATCGCCACGACGACCATGACCTCGACCACTACCACCTTCACCACCACGGCTACCACCTCCACCCTTGCCACCTGAGTGCTCGGGGGGTTGTCGGTGGTGGTGGGACGGGCCCTCTTCTTCTTCGTTCCTTCCCCCGTGTGAGTCATAGAAGGAGGTCGCCGTGTGGCTGCTGTAGTAGGAAGATGGCGATGACGAGGAGAAGAAGGACGATGTTGATCCGGTGCTGTACGGGTTTAAGTCATATGTGGTAGTCTTGCAGGAGGCCGTCAGCTTGAACCCGCCGGCCTCAAGGATAGTGACGGTATCGTTCCCCGAGAGTGTTTCGGAGAAGTAGAGCTCCTGATTCGGGTCGTGTTATGGCCACGCGATTGATTGCAGAGCGGGTGGTTGAGTGGTCAGCACCTGCGCAGACTTCTTGGTGAAGTACATGCATAATTTGATCAGAAACAGTAATCCAGGACTCAATCACCTTAGTATCCTCCTCATATCAACGGTTGTTGTGATCAGATTGAAGGTCGACCAGAAGTGTGCGATGTCTCGATCTTGCCGTACAGGCACAGCTGGCAGTGCACGTCTGGGTAAATGAGCCTCGGTGCAAGCGGGTACCTTGCTAAGTAGGGAAATTAAGCAGGCTATCGTCTTACGGATGGATGTGCAAAGAAAAATACTCTACTACAGCCAGTATCCTTCGGGTGCTTTTGTTTGTTGAACCTTTTCTTGGGTAAGTTAGCCTGTGACCACGGGAATCGACCGCGAGTATTACATGTAGATTACTACGTCCTATGTACATTGTACTGACAGATAAAGATACTGGATAGAGAGATTGGAACAGTCTTTAATGTGAATATCAACAACAACAACACAACAACAACAACAACAACAACAACAGTAGCATACACGTACACATTTTACAGCAATCACCGATACGGAGGAACGGAGGAATATGGCAACCGATGGCATCATGTAATTAATGTACAACGCGCCAAAATTGCCTACATTATCATCATTCCTGTCTACTGCTGTAGCGCATTGCTGCCAGGCCTTTCCTACCTGCAAGTCAGTTGCAGATGCCCCCCTCGAAATGATGGCAGAACGCTTGTGGCGAATGCCACCAGCGTTGGCCGATGTGTTAAAGATCCCGGCCACAGCCGCGACTAAGAAGAAACACAGGTCCTTCATCAGTCTAAGAGCCGTAGATCGAAATATTCAAATTTCAGCTGTGATTGGTTACGCCTCTGAACGGTGCTGTGTGCAGTGGTTGCCTCTCTGGAAAGGCTCTGCTGTTTCAGAATACGCCCGCACGACCAGGGATGGGGATATCAAACAACACGCTGGGGTGAATGGTAGTTCCCACAAAGCGCGCGCTCTCCCGACTGTGAGCGTGGCTGAAGCGGCGAAAATTGTGCCGGTTCGGGATCGTTTGGAGGCTTCACAATCGATCCCTCCTGGAAATTGATGTGTGCGTTTGCCACAGCCAGTACTCTAAAGGATAAACTAGGACGAGTTTGATCGCCACCATATATCACGGGGACAAGGCTGCTGTCGACAGTGGATCAAAGCGCGCGCTCTCCCAGCTCCTAGCTGTGAGTGTTGCTTAAGCGGCGAAAATTGTGCCGGTTCGGGATCGTTCGGCGGTTTCACAATCGATCCCTGCTCCCTTCTGTAAAATGAGTGTGCGTTTGCCACAGCCAGTACTCCAAAAGGGTAAACTAGGACGAGAATGTTCGCCACCATATATCACGGGGACAAGGCTGCTGTCGACAGTGGATTTATACGTCGGAAGATGGGCGGGAGAAGACCTCTTCCCCGCACTACGTAACCCTATACCTAACCTTGAAGGTTTAGCCTCAATGGAAGTTGGGCCCACGCGGCGCAAAACCAACAGATTCGCCGTTGGGTTCCGCACGAGAGAGGAAGAATCCCGCGAGGGTTGGTTAAAATGAAGAGGCTCATGTTGTTCGGGGTTAGGCTCTAGCGAGCTTTTGCATCGCAAAAAAGTGTGCCAATCATATACCAAACTAGGATTAAGGATTGATTGGCCCCCCGCCCCCCAATGGGGCTGGGGGCCAACATCCAGGACGGATGGTGGTGAGTGTCCGGGAGGAAGGGAACAAGAAGAAGGGGAGAGGATTTGTAGGGGCGGGAAGAAGGGATGGTGTTGGGAGAGGCGAGGAAGTGGTGAAGAGTTTCGGCACTCGACGAGCGCGCGGTCCCGTCGGGGGTGAAAGGGACATGTCAGTCCGTAGTTTGTCCATCGGAATCGAAAAGCCGAAAATCGAGGTATACATTATGTACATAACGATGGAGAAGGCCGACCAGGAAGGTACGAAGAGAGGAAATTGCACCCCACGTTCGAAGTGCGAAGCCGGTGTGAAAACCGCGGCAAGGAAGGAGTGCGAAGGAAAAAGAAAAGAAAAGGAGACGTCGATGTTTGTTTGCGTCGTGGAGCGATCCTTCCGTATAACGCAGGTACTCACACAATGCAAGACGGGGATATACCCATCGTGAAAGTCAAAGCGCAGGTCATAACCGCATATATATGACTCATGCGCAGAGAAGTTACCACGGAGACTTATCAACAAGAAGTTTGAAGGCCGGCTGAGAAGGTTCGAAGACGCAAATACTTAAGCGACGATGGCAAGCGCAACGTCAAAACTTCACAAGAAGAAAAGTGCATACAAAAAAGAAAAGGCCGGAGCACCATGTGGAAGATATCCGAGGGGTCCCCCGAGGGGTCCCCCTGCGCGGTAACGACAACATGGCGAGAGTTCTACGTGTACCTGTTGTCGACAAATATGGCAGCCGCACGACACACGAACGGATGTTTGCATCGCATTGTACTATGGTTCGCCGTGACAGGAAGTATCCCATCCAGTTAGGTCGTTGCCGTAGTACGAGGACGTCGTTCGGCGTCTAGTCATACTTGTAGCAAAAACACAGCAGTATCGAGCTATGCAATTTTTTGCTCTGGTTCACTTTTGCCTTCATAACTCGAGAATCTCACGGCTGTATCTCGACCTACAAGACTCCAATCAACAAACCAGCGCTGGCAGAAGTGCGTGGAGAATGCTGTGACAGCACAACTAAGTCGACACTGGTACGACTTCTATGTACAGTCGGCGTCTGGTCCATACTGCTTTAGAAATACAAAAATCGAGCCATCTTTTTTTTTTTCCTATACTACATAGTAACAAGAAATGTATCACGTCATGACGACCATCCTGTGAGTATACATTGTATATATAACATGATCAGAGCAGATTAACCTGTGGATCTTTCATAACAGACTGACTGTAAAAACCGCAAAGCAACTGCAAAGCGATGAAGGCTATACGTGTTGGTCGTGTGTGCTTTGCAGGAGAGATCCCATCGATCCCCAACTCGTGAAACACAGCCCAACTACTATAACTGGCCGCCGGTGTTCGTGTTGCATGAATGCATGTACAGACATATACATTCACAAATGTAGCCCATACCTGGCGCGACGTACAATCTAAGGGCGCGCGTGAGTGGAGGAGTAGAGGATGCACCACAACGAACGGCTTTCTCTTCAGTGATACATCGTGCAGCACGTCTCAACTACATACATAACACTTTGAGTGCAATTCCCCCCCGCTACCCCGGGATAATGTCAGCGGCGATACATCACTATTAATTCGCAGACGTATAACTCTCTTTTCGGTGGGTGCGTGTTCGGAAACCGTTATCTACAAGTAGTGACTTGTGTGCGTTCGTCCCACCTATTCTGGGTGCGAGTCTACTCTTTTCGGTACGTGTTTGACGCTCGAGCCGGGGTCACACAGGAACACATATATATTCCCTTTTAACCTGTCCTGCACGAGTATGGTATTTCTTTTGTTTCCTCCGTGTATATTACTGTACAATGAATGATCCGCTGGTCTACAAACAACAGCGAAGGTGCCTAGGCCTATTCGACGGGAGCTTCTTCCACAAACTTCCCTACTTCTTCTTGTATCGCCGTCAACCGTGTGACAACCTGTCGGGCGGACGGTCTTCGCTCGGGATCATCCAGCCACATTTGTTCGACAACCTGATCGCCAGCAAGGTTTGGCCATAAATGGGGGCGAAACGGAGAAAAAGAGGTGATATTGTCGAAAGAGGGCCTTTCTTGGTGGGTTGTACGAGTTCCCCTGCTAAACAAATAAATATCTCTGAATGTTGCACGTGAAATGCTGCCTAGACGAAGCTATCGTGTATGTGTAGCGTAGTCTACCAGCCTGTTGGTCTAGGAGAGTACTTCCCGAACTCACTCACGACGGATAAACGAGAGATGGCATGTAAGCGAGCAAAAATTGTGACTCAGCTGACCTTCAACAAATGCCGGAGGCATAGAGGGCTGCTCAAAATTACTATTTACAGCCGAAATGTTTGCGGGGAGAGCAGTGCACACCAGAAAGAAAAACCAAAACAAAAATGGAAGCGGGACCGAAACGAACTTTGGAAGTAGAAACCTCGTCAGACACGTGGAATTCTGAACATCTGCTACGTACCGCTTCTGTCGTTAATCCCGATAATAGCGTCAGCCTCGCACTAATTGGGCTTAGTGCCAGTCAAGTTGTGTACCACGAAGAAGGTCACTGTTATACCAACCCCGGGCATGGTTGAGATGTGAACAGCTTGCCATCTGTACATCAACTATCTTTTGCATCTTGTCTTACACCAATACACCCGATCCGTTTTGGATGGGTGCCAACTGACCCTGCCGCAATGATTCCCCTAGATCATGCTGTCACCACGGGAATCGACTGCGTCAAAGTGACTAGACGAACCGAAGAAGGTAGATTGGAACGGTTATTAATGTGAAGACAACAACAACAACGATGCACAGAAGTTTGCTGTTCTTTTCGTTTCCACGTTTTTTTCGTTTAGTCATTAGGCAAATTTTTAATGTACCGGGACAGAGCTTCTAGGAGTTTTAATTATGCGGGCGAAGCCCGCCAATAAACGGTGAAACCCATTCATCTGCGAGCCAAACGCTTTCAAAATGTTGCACCTCACTCAATGAATCGATGAAGGAAAGGAGACACCAGAGCAGAGGTGCCGTCACTCACTGGGGCAGCAAAAGAATCGCCGTGCATATATTTTGCCATGCGGGTTGTCAACAAACCGACGCGTCGGGATGGATGGATGGATGATTGATGTCGATTGCTTTGGGTGGGGTGTTCACTCCAATAAAGAACCTACCGATAGATGGAGTCAAGAGAGCGAAAAAAAACAACGCGGAGCTGCCAGAGCATCATCATCACGTTACATGAAGTGTTCTGGCGAGAGGACGGGCGTGCAGATGATATAAAAGCATGCATGGATCCCTGGGTGTGGGTACTACTGCTGTGCTGCAGTAGCTCGACATAAAATGCGTTCGTGTTTGTTTGTATAGCTCTTCTTCTATCGGGTGCTGCTGCGTACTCGTCATCGACACTCAGTGTGAATTGACATCGCGAAACTTCGTGCACACAGAAACCAGAGTGGTCTCTGCTGCTGTTGGCGTCTGGTATGCGTCAGTTGCAGCGCCCAGGCTCCCGCCTGATGTGTGTCGGTCTCTGAACTGGTTGGTTCGAATGTGGTGCGCGCAGAAGAAAAAGCGGCGTAATTGCCAAAATTACTCGAAAATAGACAAGACGCCAAGTAGGCGCCAAGTTAAATGGAGACAGCTGATTGGCGGAGGCCAAGTTAAATCTGTCCCGGTGGCTTTTTTTGCTGCCACATACAAGCTTCAGAACGCCGTGCCAGACCACCCGTATGTTAGAACAATTTACATGTATGTCCACTGACCTCCATAAACCCTCTGTGCCACGAAGGGTCTACCTCGGGCTTTGAACCGTGTGAGACCGCCGTCTGCAAGGCCTCCGGTGTGTCGTACGGATTTCGTCCGGCTATCACCGAGTAGAAGATCATTCCCATGCTGTAGATGTCTGCTTTTTCTGTCAGGGGCTGGCATGGGAGTTGAATTGAACGCAAAGAAAGGGCGGGGGACAAACTATGTCAATATTTTCAAAACTAAAACGCTTCTACAATATTTTGGATGGTTTTTTCACCTTTACCCTTTGACGTTTATTCGGGAAATCGCAGAGATGACCCTCAACGACACCCACCCAAGAAATGCATCCAATACCTTCGATGATGGAACTGAAGGGCTATGATAGACGTCCTTTTCCCATCAAGAGAGCTGGTATTGTTTACTTCTGAACGAACCATCTGGCCGAAACAAGAAACAATGGTCTCATTTTGTACCTTTCCTGCGTAGTTCTCTGGGGGTCGCCAGGTTATTAGCTGGGCTGGTGTCCCTCCATGCACGGCGCAAAACGCCTCGTCAGGACCGGGGCTTCTACCCATGAGCTTGAGTGCGTTGAAGTCGTTGATCACGGCAGTCCCGTCATCGTCGATGAGTAGTTGCTGTGGCTTCATATCAAAGTGAATACCGCCCACGATCTCGTGCAAAGCCTGCGGCCAAAGGATATGAGCGACAGCAATGAAGTGGAGTATGAGTTGCTCGATGGAGCGTTCACTTGTGTGTCTTGTGTTGATTCGAGACGGAAAGTAGCCTAGATGATCCCCGGCATCCTGTGCTTATTCGCTTTGACAAACAGCACTGCGTGATAATGGGTTTCAATCACCTGGCCTACAGGTTCATGTTGACCACGTGCACGGTCGATTCTCTAGAAAAATCCAGCAGGGTTGGGCTTAGCAGTAGCGATAAAACCGAAGAATCAAGTACCAACACCAGGAAATGATTGATATTCCTTCATTGTTTTCGTGGACACACAACCCGGGCGACACGTGAGGTTTCGTGAGGTTTCAGATAAAAGATTTTTTCGAAGTAATTCCCGCAAGAGTCATCCGATGTATTACTGTCGCATGCCACGAGGTATTTTTGAGTGAGTGATAGATTCGAGTATTATCTATAGCAATATTTTCGTCTTCATTGCATGCGTGCCGCCCAAGCCCGGCTTTTCTTCCATGACATCGCACCGTCCAAGTCGGTTTTTCTTCCGTTATATCGCATCAAAATTGTGCTAAATGTGTGCTGCTTCTCGCCAGACTCCAATCGCAGATTTCTTGTACTCAACTCTAGACGGTGAGATCGCCAAGATGCTATTCATTTCACTCCTCGTCATGTGAATTTCACAGTAGTATTTGGAGGTATGCGTTGCCATTTGAAGGTGCGTAATATACATGGTTGTTTGGTGTTGTCACATGTTCTGCTTTGTAAGATGCCATGTAAGATTCAGGCTTTATGCCGATCAGGTTCTCTTCTGTTCAGTGTGGGCTTGGTCTTCGTGTTTGTTCGATTCCGGCTGCAGGTGTACATGCAAGGCAAAAGGAGAGCGTATCAAGCAGAGAACAACGGAAAGCAGCAACAAACTGCAACGGTGATCGGGCAAGTTCCACACAGCTTCGAGGTGATTGTTGTAAAGAGGTTTTAGTCACATGAAGCCAGTGAGATATGTACCTCTTCACTATGACCACCTCGAAGCTGTGTGGACCTTGTTCGCCCACAGATGCCGGTTATTGCTGCTTTCCGATATACCAAGCCCAACCGCATACTGGACAGAAGGGCACCTGACTGGGTATGACACCTGAGTCGTGCATGACACATACACTTGATATCGCCAAATGACCATATGGTTTTGTAACGAAGCATCACATGGCTACCTCGAAATACCATAACTACAGCAGTTGTTCTTCCCGCGCACTCCACACTCGGCTTGCAGTACGTCTGGTAGCCCGAGCTGGTTCTGAATCCCCTGATGTGACTACTCAACATGCTGTTTCGTTGCCCATGGGGTGTGTCTTGCCTGCAGTCCTTTTGCAGCTCCCAGCGCGAGCGACACGACCTGGCGAATTGGCATCGGTGCCCCCCGTCGCCTGATTGATCCCTTGAAGTCTTCCTTAAAGAACTTCGTCACCACTGTAGTGCCGCACACACCAAGCATCTCGACGATGTTCGGGTGTCCTTTCAACTGCAGCAGCAATTGATTCGGACGGGCAACGACTGCAAGACTTACCAAGACATGAATATCTCAGCCCATATTGGTCGGGAGTTCGCAGATAGACCGCTTTGCATGCGACCGATTTTGAGCACCCTGGACGCTCGAAGAAGTAGTGTGAAGAACTGCTTCATGAAGAATGACAACCTGAAAGCAATGTCAGCTACACCTCTAGCGCAAACAAGACACAGATGTCATTTGCCATGGATCAGCTGCATCGAAGCTGCGCCTAGGAACGTGAGTTCCTATTATTCGATTGCTCACTGTAGGTGCATACAGTGCCTTTTTTATGCATGCCAGCATACGAATCAAAGCGAAAATCCTTGACCCAACGTTGTAGAAGTCATTCTTCTTACCGCATCCATCGTCAGCACTTCTCGTTTGTGCATCGTGAGGTACAATTTCTGTTTGCGTAGTTCATCCACGTTCCGGAGAGTCTTCACGACAAGTGCCTGCCCTTCGTACTCCACGAGGTACACGTCGCGCACAAGCCCGCTAGCAAGCAGAGTTTGTTCCCGCCTGATCATGTTCTGTAAAATCACAGAATCGGCAGCAAACAGCACATAAGACCACTCAAGATTGGACATGTTTCATACACAGCTCACAACAAATAGAGCTGGTAAATCAGTAGGTAACACCGCAACCTCCTACTGACGTTTCGGACATGACATGGGTTCGCGTGTCGGTGCAGTCACACCAACTGGGGCGTTTTCTCACTTTGTGCCACGCCAAACAATGAAAAATGTCGAGAGCGAAATCTTCATTTGTCCACAATCATTCGACCTTACGGTCGATGGGAGAAAGGAACAGCTGAATGCTTCTCGACGGAGAAAAATTGAGGCAAACACCACAAGAAGGAAGGCGGAGAAAGTAGCTCCTATGTGGCCTTCCTCCTGTATGCCCCCGTCCTTGAATAAATGGGATGGCACCATAACAAAACAGCCGAGGGCAGCACAAGCCAAAAATAACCTAAAGCTTAATAGCCGCGGGTACAGCACATACATATGCCTGAAGGCCAAGTGGAGCTTTTCAATGAGATCGCCACGCACAAGAATCCCGAGGTAGGTCTCTTTCCCCATTATTTATTGACGTCTAGAACGTTGGCATTGAGCTACAGTTTCAACTAGATAAATCGCTGTGTTGTTCTACGGAAATGATGAAATGGTGAAAAGTACGGCGGCATACTCCAAGGTTCGTGTCGTCTACGTACGGCACTCTATTACAACAGTAGTGCAAAGGCCGGATCGGATATCCTTTCGCGCTACATCGAAAGAAAAGGTGCCAGCAACAATATTTTTCTCCACACCCTAGGCTTATGTAAATTTGCCCTTAAATTTCTTGCTCTTCTTGGAACGAAGTGTTCCCGCCCCCCCCCAAACGCTGAACAAATTTGCATGGCAAATCAAGACAATAATAATACTAATATTGGCAAATATTGGGCCTCCGTGTAGAATAGGGGAGTTAATGTGCATGTTCTGCGTGCCTCCTAGCCATGAACACTCGCCGCGCCTAAACGCTGTACGGCGTACTACCTAGACGACGACAGGGAGAGCATGGCCAGCACATGGATGGGGCGTAAGGCTGTTGCGCGCAAGACTAGCCAAAAGAAAACATGCTGGGTGCACAATAGAATGCAAAAATGCCCCGGTTTGCGTCGAGCACGGGTGTTCGTCGTTCAAGCGCGCGGTCTTTGATGCTACTCCAGGTTGAAAATATTTCGAGAAGTGTATGTAGTGGATGCTGTGGATGATTTGTCGTGTGTGTGTGGTTTCTCCACCACCCTCCACCACCAGCAACGCCGCGTTCTTGGCGCAGGCATTTTCGGTGAAAAATGATGGCCATGTCAGTCAATGTTTTTCTACAGCTACAGGTCGTTGGATCAAACTCGTTCGATATGAGAGTGGATGGATGATATAGAGGGGAGAAAAACCGAAAATAGGAAACTTGCTTATTCTTTTTTTCCGGATATGACTCAACGAATCCATCTCTATCTAAGAAAATTGTCTGATATGATATGCAAATATTTGTTTGCAATAATATTGGGCCGGGGTAATTACCCCGGGGTACCTCAAGGTGTGCCGGATAACTAATTCTACTTTCGGGCAACCTTGATTAGATGCATTATTTGTACAGCCATTGAAGCGATGATCCGAGCCTATTTGTGACGTTGAATACTTCTTCTCAAGCCTGCCTGTCGATACAACAGGGGCTATGTTGCTTAGTACAGTATTTCATCAACGTGCACGTGCGTCTCCCATGATTGGCACAGCGAGGAATGAACAGGGAGAGTCACCGCCTCGGAAATATCATTAATTATTATCTATCTATCTTAGACTGTTTTCTTAGATAGAGATGGATTCGTTGGGTCATATTCAGAAAATATATATATAAATATGTATATATGTATCTGCAGCAGCAACAGTGAGGGCTGATCTTATCCACTTTGTTTGGCGCTCCCACACTTCACTCCCACACCAGTCACTGGTGTGGGAGTGAAGTGTGGGAGCGCCAAACAAAGTGGATAAGATCAGCCCTCACTGTTGCTGCTGCAGATACATATATACATATTTATATATATATTTTCTGAATATGACCCAACGAATCCATCTCTATCTAAGAAAACAGTCTAAGATAGATAGATAATAATTAATGATATTTCCGAGGCGGTGACTCTCCCTGTTCATTCCTCGCTGTGCCAATCATGGGAGACGCACGTGCACGTTGATGAAATACTGTACTAAGCAACATAGCGCCTGTTGTATCGACAGGCAGGCTTGAGAAA